GTAGATAATCCTCATCATCATCATCCATGTCTTCATCTTCAAGTTCCTCTACCTTGAAGTCATCAGCATCCTCTTTAGTATCGACTACCTCCAAACTAATGGCCTTTTTCCGTGGTGTACGCTTACGTAAAGTTGGTGCTGTTGTTGATGGCGATGGTCCAAGTCCAGTACGTTTACGTGCGGTAGGTTTTATTTTCGGTGGCTTACTGCTGGTGGGTTTATTGGGTGTTTCCTTTTTTAGGGCTTGAACTTTGACCTGATCATCGGGTTTAATAATTTTATTAACATTTACCACTTTGATTTCCGAAGTGGGATTTAAGGTGGCTGGAACTGGATAAATGCAAAATATGATTATTGTTTGTTTTAGAATGTAATGAGTGTTTTTTTGCGCAACTTACTTCTGGAAGTATGTTTTCTAATACGATTTCTGGGTGGATCGAATTCGGGTAAACCACAAGTATCCGGGCGATTGCGGCGATGTTTGATGAGATTGGAATAACATGAAAATCTTGAACTGCAACCGCGACACTCTACCAAACGTATTCCGGTATGAATGGAAGAATGTGTTACAATACTTTCGCGATGCGAAAAACTTTTGCCACAAACCTGGGAGGGAAATTGAAAGGAAAAAGTTTAAAAATTTTAATAAAATAAAAATTTTTAATTAAAAATTTCGAAATTTTAGTGAAAACTTTTAATTTTTATGTGAATTTAAGGTGAAATTCAAATTTTTAGTAAAATGTTTAATTTCTAGTGAAATTTTGAATTTCTAGTGAAATTTTGAATTTCTAGTGAAATTTTGCTTTTCTAGTAAAATTTTGATATTTTAGTGATATTCGGATTTTTTGGTGAAATTTTGAATTTCTAGTGTAATTTTAAATTTCCAGTGAAATTTTGAATTTCTAGTGAAATAACGAATTTCTATTGAAATTTTTAATTTTAGTGAAATAACGAATTACAAGTGAAATTTCGAATTCCCAGAGATATTTCAAATTTGTAGAGAAATTTCGAATTCTTAGTGAAATATCGAATTAGTGAAATTTCCAATTAAATTTTTAAATTGTAGTGAAATTTCGAATTTCTAATAATATTTAAAATTTTTAGCGAAATTTCATATTTCTAGTGAAATTTTGAATATTTGGTGAAAATTCGAACTTCTAGCGAAAATTCGCATTACTGTTTTCAGCGAATTAAAAGTTAAATTTTGATTATTTTTGATAAATTTTTAATTTTTCAGGGAAATGAAAAACTGCTTCTTCTTAATCTTTGTACTTACATCGCAAGTATACGGCTTCTCTCCCGTATGTGTCCTCTCATGCTCCACCAATCTGGCCTTCTGCTTAAAATTCCTGCCACAATAACTGCAACAAAATTTCAATTCTCCCGAGTGATTATCCAAATGTTGTTTTAAATTATATTTCGTTACAAAAGCCATGGGACATTTATCACATTTATAGGGTTTAATACGGCCACACTCTGTCTCCATGTGACGACGATAGGGATCGATAGTCTTATAGGCGGCTCCACATTTTTCACATTTAAATATTTCGCGATCAACACCCTGATGTATGTCGCGTATGTGAGCTCGATAGTCGTCCTCATTGGTAAAAGTGGCTGTCTTGCATAGGCGACATGCTATAGTGGTATGTTCAGATTCACGATGCTTTTTTAGCTCTTCATCGGAGCAGAAACGGGCTTCGCAGTAGCGGCATATAAAGCCGCCAGGGGGTTCATGTTTTTTGACGTGCTTCACATAGCCGGCTAGAGAGACGAGAGCTTTATTGCAAACGGGACAGAAAAGTTTGGGCACCCCATCTGTGGATAGTTTGACCAGCATGTCTTGGGTAGCAGCTGCTGTGGAGGTAGAGGCAACGGCTTCCGCTGGAAATTGTTGAGAAAAGTAAATTAAAATCTCGGTTTTTTTTGACAGATTTGCATCAGAAAAGGTTTCAAAATTCTTTTAAAGGTTAACATTTCATTTTATATTATAAGCACTTATCCATCCCTGACATAGCGGCTGTATTTTGACACTTGTTTACAAATCAACGAAAAAAAGTGGGAAACAACAGTAATGAACACCACCACTAACAAGAAGCTTAAGCTTAACAAGCGTACTAACAAAAATTTTATTAAAACTAGTGATAAAGTGTATAAATGTAAATAAATTTAAAAGAAAATTGTAAAATACTAACAAAACTCACCCATTTTAACAAAAATAACCTTAAAACTAACAACTGGCTTGCTTGTTTGGCTGTAAAAACAGGGTAAACGTTTTTTTCTTTCTATTAACAAAATATTCTTTCTATAAATTTTCTTGCTCTTTGTGGCTTTTCTTTAGTTTTTCGTAATTATCACATTTTTTTTTGCAACTACTTTTTTTCGTTTGTATTTTAATTGTAAATTTTTCTTATTTCTGTTGCTGTAGTTTTTCTCATTTGTTTGTGTTTATAGTTTTTTACTTTTTTTTTCGCTTTTTGTGTTGATTTTAATTTTTACACATTAAAAAATTTCTGGTAAAATTAATTTTCTTTTGATGAACAAATATTTCTTTTTTTGCTTCTTTATTCTCTTTCTGTGGTGTATATACACCTTGAAAAATCGACACGTCTATTATGGCGTTGTATACTCTATTAAATATGGCTGCTGTTAGTATGTAAAATTTTTCTCACACTGCATGTGCTAGAAGAGTTGCCATATTTGTTTTTCAAAGGAGAAGTGTTCAAGAGAGAGAGAGAAAGGGATTTGTTTATGATTGAAGTCTAGTGTTGGTAAACGTTTGTTTTTTTATATTCACATATAGAGGGCGCTGTATGGTTGAAGGAATGTGTAAAGAAAATATCCGTTAATTTTGAATGAATTTAAATGGAAGTTGAAGTTTGTATGAATTTATATGGAAGTTAGGACTATAGACTCAACTAGGACTATAGACTAGACTATAGACTAGGACTTTAGATAGACTATAGGACTAGATATAGACTAGACTATAGACTAGACTATAGACTAGACGATAGCACTCGGACTATAGACTATACCTATTAAGACTAGGGACTATAGACTAGACTATAGACTAGACTATAGAATAGACTATAGGACTTAGACTATAGACAGAATATAGACTGACTATAGAATAGACTATAGACTAGACTATAGACTAGGACTATAGACTAGGGAACTTATAGAATAGACTATAGACTAGACTATAGACTAGACTAGACTAGACTATAGACTAAGACTATAGACTCGACTAGACTATAGACTAGGACTATAGACTAGACTATAGACCTAGACTATAGACTAGACCATAGAATAGACTATAGACTAGACTATAGACTAGACTATAGACTAGACTTAGACGAGACTATAGACTAGACTAAGACTAGACTATAGACAGACTATAGACTAGACTATAGACTAGACTATAGACTAGACTATAGACTAGACTATAGACTAGACTATAGACTAGACTATAGACTAGACTATAGACTAGACTATAGACTAGACTATAGACTAGACTATAGACTAGACTATAGACTAGACTATAGACTAGACTATAGACTAGACTATAGACTAGACTATAGACTAGACTATAGACTAGACTATAGACTAGACTATAGACTAGACTATAGACTAGACTATAGACTAGACTATAGACTAGACTATAGACTAGATATAGACTAGACTATAGACTAGACTATAGACTAGACTATAGACTAGACTATAGACTAGACTATAGACTAGACTATAGACTAGACTATAGACTAGACTATAGACTAGACTATAGACTAGACTATAGACTAGACTATAGACTAGACTATAGACAGACAAGACTATAGACTAGACTATAGACTAGACTATAGACTAGTCTATAGACTAGACTATAGACTAGACTATAGACTAGACTATAGACTAGACTATAGACTAGACTATAGACTAGACTATAGACTAGACTATAGACTAGACTATAGACTAGACTATAGACTAGACTATAGACTAGACTATAGACTAGACTATAGACTAGACTATAGACTAGACTATAGACTAGACTATAGACTAGACTATAGACTAGACTATAGACTAGACTATAGACTAGACTATAGACTAGACTATAGACTAGACTATAGACTAGACTATAGACTAGACTATAGACTAGACTATAGACTAGACTATAGACTAGACTATAGACTAGACTATAGACTAGACTATAGACTAGACTATAGACTAGACTATAGACTAGACTATAGACTAGACTATAGACTAGACTATAGACTAGACTATAGACTAGACTATAGACTAGACTATAGACTAGACTATAGACTAGACTATAGACTAGACTATAGACTAGACTATAGACTAGACTAGACTAGACTATAGACTAGACTATAGACTAGACTATAGACTAGACTATAGACTAGACTATAGACTAGACTATAGACTAGACTATAGACTAGACTATAGACTAGACTATAGACTAGACTATAGACTAGACTATAGACTAGACTATAGACTAGACTATAGACTAGACTATAGACTAGACTATAGACTAGACTATAGACTAGATTATAGACTAGACTATAGACTAGATTATAGACTAGATTATAGATTAGACGATAGAATAGACTATAGATTATACTACAGAATATACTATAGACTAGACTGTAGACTATAGATTTTTAGTAAATTTTTTTTTAAAAACTTGTTTATCAAAGAAAACTCTTTTTAATTATTTTAAATAATTTTACAATTTTTTATTATTTTTTAATTTTTTACAAAAGAAAACTTAATAATAATATTTATTTCATTTGCATTAATTTCATTAATGTTCATTTACATCGTTTGTGTGTCTTAAACTTAATACTAAAAGTAAAAAAAAGCGTTTTTTTCTAACTTAACAATTTTAAAATCTTAATTATTAATTTAAAAACCTATTAAATAGTATCACTTTGTTCTTTGTTAAAACGTTTAAAATAATTCTGTTCGTTTTTCGTCTTGTTTTTTCTTTCATCAAAAAAAAGTCTTAAATACCATTACTATCTACAACAAGAAAAATACATATTTACACTTTTCTTTTCGCTACAACTTCAGCTAAATTTTAAATTTTTTCTCGGTAAGTCCAAGAAAAACTATAAAATTTGCCCATGACTATGAGACTGTTCGTATGCTTCTATTTTCTCTATTATCCGATCATTTATGACTTCTTTAACATTTACGGACCATAGGAAATCATAATGATTCCAATCATCATAGGGCATACGATACAATTCCACACAGGGTAATAGTGTGGCCAAGTATTCAACATCTGCCACTGCTGACATGTAATCATTGTTGCTGTAATACATATTAACACAACTTTTGATATTGCCCACTTCATAGTGGGGTGGGGTCTCTTGATTGTATTTCTTGAGATTTATATCGATGCCATGATCGAATTGTTTGAAATCTCCGGAAGTGTAGAGCTGTAGATAGTGTATGATTTGTGTGGTGGAGGCACCGGCGGGATGGGTTTCACAAACATGAGGCAAAAGCGTCTGAAAGAAGAGGAAAAATGAAGAGGAGATTAGTTTGAGAATAGGCTATAGTCCAGACTAGACTATAAACTAGATCATAGTCCAGACTATAGACAGGACTATATTCCAGACTATAGACAGGACTATAGTCCAGACTACAGTCCAGGCTATAGTCCAGACTACAGTCCAGACTATTAACTAGACTATGGTCCAGACTACAGAACAGATTATTAACAAGATTATAGTCCAGACTATGGACTAGACTATTGTTCAGACTAAATGCTAGACTACAGTCCAGACTATAGACTAAACTTTAGTCCAGTCAATAGACTAGACAATAGTCCAGACTATAGACTACACTATAGACTAGATTATAGCCTAGACAATAGTCCAGACTATAGACTAGACTATAGATTAGGCAATAGTCCAGACTAGACTATAGTCCAGGCTAAATACTAGACTATAGTACAGACCATACACTAGACTATAGTCCAGACTGTAGACTATACAATAGTTCAGGCTATAGACTAGACTATAGTCCAGTCCAAAGTCCCGGCTATATATTAGTTGATGAATAAGACTATATCCCGGTCTAAGGACATTAGACTTAAGATGTTACTAAAAAAATGCCCCAAAATGTACTTACATGATTTAATTGCTTTGTACCCCAACCGCCAATAAAGTCCAAAATTCCCGAACATAAAAACTTCAGCGAATCATGCGAACAAACGTATTCGCAGAATAATTTCTGTATACTTGTCGTAGGCAACAGCTCAAAACCACTCAAAATCATGCTCATAAACGAGGGATAACCCAAAAATAAACGCCCCACTTTCGATAGCAAAAACGAATGATTTCTCATGAAAGCTATAGGAGCTAGCAAATGTACAGTTCGGACTTTTTCATTATACCAAGGTAGGGAAGACATTAGCACAAAGAAGGTGGTGGTACCCTGAGAATGAGCCACAAAATGCAATGAGGGTTGTTGCGTTTCCTCCAGAACATAATCCAACATGGCGGCTAAATCGTAAACACCAATTTCATGCCAACTAAAATTCCAGAAATCCGAAGAATCGGGATGTTTGTGCTTGTGTTGGCGCGAGTAGGTATTGCCGCGGGCATTACCTAGCCAAACATCATAGCCTTGATCGGCAAACATGTAGGCTAGAGAAGTTTCGGGACCATTAATAATCCAATCATCTGAGGCACATAAAATACCATGTTGTAGAAATACCACCGGTTTGACCGTATTATTGTGATGTTTTAATTTCGGTGAATCGGGTATACGATAAATGGTTAGGATATAATCATCAGGGGTGTGTACTGTATGCTCCTCGACAGGGTAATTATAATTTGAGATCAGTTTAGCCTGAAAATAAAAAATAGAGAAACATTTGTATTTTGAAATAATTCTAATGTTTAAAAAGATATTCCCTAATACCTATTTTGTTGTTCAAATGTAGTAGACTATAATTAAATTTTATGATCTTTACAATGTGTCATTTTTTTAATTATGTTATTGTTTACTTATTAATTTTCTGGTCAAAGTTCTTAGCTAATTATAGATTTATTTTGTAAACAAAATATTCGATTAAAGCTAGACATTTAATAGATAATTTATGACTATTAGATCCAGCAGTAAGAAAATAATAAGTTCATTATACTCTTTATAAAAACAAATAAATAATAGACTGATTTGAATAGATTAGTCTATAAATTGATATGTAGTCAAGACTATATACTGAACTCAAGTCAAGACTATAGGATGATCTATAGTCCAGACTCTAGTATGATCTATAGTCTAGACTCTAGAATGATCTATAGTCCAGACTCTAGAATGGTCTATAGTCCAGACTATATAATAATCTATAGTCCAGACTATAGAATGATCTAGAGTCCAGACTATAGAATGATCTAGAGTCCAGACTATAGAATGATTTATAGTCCAGACTATAGAATGATCTATAGTCCAGACTATAGAATGATCTATAGCCCAGACTATAGAATGATCTATAATCCAGACTATAGAATGATATATAGTCCAGAATATAACATGATCTATAGTACAGACTAGAATGATCTATAGTTCAGACTATAGAATGATCTATAGCCCAGACTATAGAATGATCTATAGTCCAGACTATAGACTGAATTATAGTCCAGTTTTTAAACATTTATATTTCAAATTTTCTGGTCAAAGTTCTTAGTAAATAATATACATTTTTACTTTGTAAATTTTGCACAAAAAAACACAAAATTTAATTGAATGTATTCACCTGAATAAAAGCAATTAAATTTAATTAAACAAATAAAAAACATTTAATTAATATATAAATAATTTATGACTTTTAGTTCCAGCAGTAAGAAAATAATGAGGACAAATTATTAAAACAAACACGAATTGAATTTTATAATAAAGAATGTGAAGTAGTGAAGACTATAGGTTGGTGGTCTGTAGCCAAGACTATAGGTTGATCTATAGTCCAGACTAAAGACTGATCAATAGTTCAGATTATAAACTGATCTCTAGTCCAGACTATAGACTGATCTATAGTCCAGACTATAGACTAATCTATGGTCCAGACTATAAACTTGATCTATAGTCCAGACTATAGTCAATATTATTGATTGATCTATAGTCCAAATTATATACAGATCTTTAGTGAAGTCTATATATAGTCTTATCTATACTCAAGACTATGGACTGACTGATCCCACATCTTTTTTACATTAATCATTGATTCCGCATTTTTTGCAGCTGTAGAAATAAAATAAATTAAAAGTCATGCCAGCAAATAGCAACAAAAGTAAATAAACAAATATAAATTTGTGTGTTTAAGAACAAAGTCCATAATTTAAAATCGCAAAACACCTACTACATACATTTACATTTTGACGTTATACTCGTTCTAGCACCTTCAAAATCAACAGACGAGAACAGAGAGAATAAAAGCAAGCTATAAAAATATAATGTACAATACGCCAAAGTTTAATTTAATGTGATCTTTTATAAATTTTTGCCGGTTATTTTTAAACATAGAAATCAATGAAGTGCTTTTTCTCCAACCAAAAAGAAAAAAACAAATTAACAAAAGTTGCCTAAAAATTCGCGTAATTTAACAAAGTTCAGAATAAAATACAAAACATTTCTGTTATAACTTCTGATATTCATTTAGTCTTTTAAAATTTAAGCGATTTAATTATTACTAGATTGGTATCACTGTCTGTTGTTAAATACTTTTACTACCCATTATATTTGCTCCCTCCCTTTCTCCTAAATACCCCTTTTCAAAATAAACATCATTCACATGTTCTTTTAATTTTCTTTCCCTCACCCCTAACAAATAAGAATGATTACTGACTGTTTGTTTTTTCCCTCACAAAAACTTTATAAATGTGTGTTTGTTTGACTGTTTATGTCATCATCATCTTCTTAATCATAACAATAACATTACGTTAAGTTTTGTTATTGTTTTGAACTTCCCCTTGTACTTGAATATTTTTGACACTAGTGGAGATGCCAGATAAGAAGTTTTGGTTTACTCAGCGGGAGTTTATGATAGGATTATATACTGGACTATAGAAAAGGCTAAATACTGGACTGTAGAATAGAATATAGATTAGACTATAGACTAGACTATAGACTAGACTATAGACTAGACTATAGACTAGACTATAGACTAGACTATAGACTAGACTATAGACTAGACTATAGACTAGACTATAGACTAGACTATAGACTAGACTATAGACTAGACTATAGACTAGACTATAGACTAGACTATAGACTAACTATAGACTAGACTATAGACTAGACTAGACTAGACTAGACTATAGACTAGACTATAGACTAGACTATAGACCAGACTATAGACTAGACTATAGACTAGACTATAGACTAGACTAGACTAGACTATAGACTAGACTATAGACTAGACTATAGACTAGACTATAGACTAGACTAAAGACTAGACTATAGACTAGACTATAGACTAGACTATAGACTAGACTATAGACTAGACTATAGACTAGACTATATACTCGACTATAGACTAGACTATAGACTAGACTATAGACTAGACTATAGACTAGACTATAGACTAGACTATAGACTAGACTATAGACTAGGCTATAGACTAGGCTATAGACTAGACTATAGACTAGACTATAGACTAGACTATAGACTAGACTATAGACTAGACTATAGACTAGACTATAGACTAGACTATAGACTAGACTATAGACTAGACTATAGACTAGACTATAGACTAGACTATAGACTTGACTATAGACTAGACTATAGACTAGACTATAGACTAGACTATAGACTAGACTATAGACTAGACTATAGACTAGACTATAGACTAGACTATAGACTAGACTATAGACTAGACTATATACTAGACTATAGACTAGACTATATAGACTAGACTATAGACTAGACTATACTAGACTATAGACTAGACTATAGACTAGACTATAGACTAGACTATAGACTAGACTATAGACTAGACTATAGACTAGACTATAGACTAGACTATAGACTAGACTATAGACTAGACTATAGACTAGACTATAGACTAGACTATAGACTAGACTATAGACTAGACTATAGACTAGACTATAGACTAGACTATAGACTAGACTATAGACTAGACTATAGACTAGACTATAGACTAGACTATAGACTAGACTATAGACTAGACTATAGACTAGACTATAGACTAGACTATAGACTAGACTATAGACTAGACTATAGACTAGACTATAGACTAGACTATAGACTAGACTATAGACTAGACTATAGACTAGACTATAGACTAGACTATAGACTAGACTATAGACTAGACTATAGACTAGACTATAGACTAGACTATATACTAGACTATAGACTAGACTATAGACTAGACTATAGACTAGACTATAGACTAGACTAGACTAGACTATAGACTATAGACTAGACTATAGACTAGACTATAGACTAGACTATAGACTAGACTATAGACTAGACTATAGACTAGACTATAGACTAGACTATAGACTAGACTATAGACTAGACTATAGACTAGACTATAGACTAGACTATAGACTAGACTATAGACTAGACTATAGACTAGACTATAGACTAGACTATAGACTAGACTATAGACTAGACTATAGACTAGACTATAGACTAGACTATAGACTAGACTATAGACTAGACTATAGACTAGACTATAGACTAGACTATAGACTAGACTATAGACTAGACTATAGACTAGACTATAGACTAGACTATAGACTAGACTATAGACTAGACTATAGACTAGACTATAGACTAGACTATAGACTAGACTATAGACTAGACTATAGACTAGACTATAGACTAGACTATAGACTAGACTATAGACTAGACTATAGACTAGACTATAGACTAGACTATAGACTAGACTATAGACTAGACTATAGACTAGACTATAGACTAGACTATAGACTAGACTATAGACTAGACTATAGACTAGACTATAGACTAGACTATAGACTAGACTATAGACTAGACTATAGACTAGACTATAGACTAGACTATAGACTAGACTATAGACTAGACTATAGACTAGACTATAGACTAGACTATAGACAAGACTATAGACTAGACTATAGACTAGACTATAGACTAGACTATAGACTAGACTATAGACTAGACTATAGACTAGACTATAGACTAGACTATAGACTAGACTATAGACAAGACTATAGACTAGACTATAGACTAGACTATAGACTAGACTATAGACTAGACTATAGACTAGACTATAGACTAGACTATAGACTAGACTAGACTATAGACTATAGACTAGACTATAGACTAGACTATAGACTAGACTATAGACTAGACTATAGACTAGACTATAGACTAGACTATAGACTAGACTATAGACTGGACTATATACTAGACTATAGACTAGACTATAGACTAGACTATAGACTAGACTATAGACTAGACTATAGACTAGACTATAGACTAGACTATAGACTAGACTATAGACTAGACTATAGACTAGACTATAGACTAGACTAGACTAGACTATAGACTAGACTATAGACTAGACTATAGACTAGACTATAGACTAGACTATAGACTAGACTATAGACTAGACTATAGACTAGACTATAGACTAGACTATAGACTAGACTATAGACTAGACTATAGACTAGACTATAGACTAGACTATAGACTAGACTATAGACTAGACTATACTAGACTATAGACTAGACTATAGACTAGACTATAGACTAGACTATAGACTAGACTATAGACTAGACTATAGACTAGACTATAGACTAGACTATAGAGTAGACTATAGACAACACTATATACTAGACTAGAGA